AGGGAGTCGCCTTTGTTTGCAGCTCCACAAGGTTTTCCTGACGGGGCGAATTCTGTGCTTATCAGGGAAAAGATTTGCAAGCAAGGGGTTGTGACCGTAAGCCCAGAGTCGAGCTGGGGTGCGTTGATTTATTTTGCTTTAGGCTGTGAGGCCATTAAAAAAAAAAAGAAAAGGAGAAAAAAAAAATAACACCACCCACAAAACACAGATTAAAAGAAATCACGGAGCTCTAGGCTCCTGCAAGCGGCACTGGGGAGGACAAGCACGTACCCAAATAAAGTTTAATATCCTGGAGAGAGGTGGAGCCTCAGCATCAACTGCTTGTCCTCGCTGATCCTGTTTGCGCCAGAGCCTGCGGATGCAGACGGGCTGGTGGGCATTTAGCGCTCTGCTGGAGGTCAGAGAGCGGCTCCACCGAGACCTGAGACTCCCCTGGGGGATACATACACCCCAAGAAAAGAAATCTGAACAGATTTCAGCGCTTTGTTCCAGTAAAGAGTGAGGAATTTGTGTGCAGTCCCTGCCCCAAGCCTCTCTCTGGCCTTTAATAAGGGATGCCCCGAGCGCTGCTGCTCAGATAAAGTCTGATTGTAGCTCCTGCACCCTCGCTGCCCTTCTGTTGAGGAAGCACACTCGAGCTGAGCTGCTTCTCCACCCGAAATTACCGAGTCAAGGCAGCGACAGTTCCTCTCGTGCCTGCTTGCCAGAGGAGCGGAGGCTCAGGAGCTCGTCTCTCACAGCTCGCGCCGTATCCCCAAACCGTTGAGCTCTTCGGCGACCAAGCCACCACCAAAGCCCAGGGAAGCAGAATGTCCCCTCCCGGTTGTCGCGAGCGCCTCACCCACCCCGCGTGCCCAGCAGGGACGACCAAAGCGTCGTTTAGCTCGACTCAGGACTTACTTAGGATGATGGTGACCGTCTTGACGAGGCTGATCATGGTCTCCTTGTAGCGGGGGTGAAAGCTGGTGTGCTTGGACATCCGCGTCATCTTCCTCTTGACGTAGATGAAGATGTGCGTGTACACCACCACCATGATGAGGAAGATGACCAGGTTGGAGATGGCCCAGAAGGTCAG